AAAGAAAGAGTATGGAAATATTTAATCTTATCGCAAAATAGACCAAACGAGTGCCGTTCAGTCTATGGATATGATAATCATTTTTATAAGCTTTTTTGGCGCTTGTACCGCACATAGCAAATCTACTTGAAGTATTACAAAATAAATCAAAGTAATTAACGAGGACATAATAACAGCTATGTGTGAGCGTCGACTAAGTTGTTTGCTGTGTTAGGGTATTGAAAGAAAAATAATAATGAATGCAAATTTGACCAGTATTCCGTGAATTTTAGAACGCAATAGTTGTGATAATAGTGTTATTTATATTTGACGAACCAATTACGAGTATGTATTGAGGGCCACAGACTTTTCACATACTGTGATACAAAGTGTCTTCAAAATGTTTGTTTTACCTTTAGTAGTTGCCATATTTCTTTTTACGTTTGTTATATTACCATTCTTTTGTTACTATACACGTATCGAAAGTAAATCACTGGCAAGACTATGCCCGCAAGGATATCGGTATTGCAACCGCAATCGTCAGCGGCAGCAGCGGCAGAGTGGTGTTTGGCAACAGACAGGTGCACGTCGCATATGTGTCTACAATGGTGTGTAGAAAATTAGTAAAAATAATTTCACTATGAATATATTAATACGTGTTTGCTTCATTTCTATTCGGATCTATTCTACGTGGGTAGATTAAACTCGCAAGAATAAACGCTTTAAGGCTTGTGCTCTGGTAGCATAAACGCAGGTTGAGTTGAAATCAGTTGATTTGCATTTAGCCTGATTGATACAGAGATTCCGTGTTGCTAACTTTTTGCCACAAATATAATTATTTACCTAAAATTTTACCAAAGTTTAGCAAATTTAGGGTTAGCAGCCCTGATATAGGTTGTCAAATATCTCCCTTCCGCTTATTTGTCTTTTGAATTTCGCGGCTATGTACAAAGCGCTACAGAGCAGAGAACAAAACAACGCTATGCATGATTTGGATATTGCGTTTAACAGTTATAGACGTGTAAACATGGAGTTCACTAACGCCGAAATCACTTTCTATCACTTCGAACCGCGGAGGAATGGTTTCGACGATTCAGAGCCGGTGAAAACGACACCATGGATAAGCCCGCCGGCGGAAGACCTGTGACGACAAATACCGATCAAATCATGGAAAACATCGAGTTAAACCGGCATCGACACGTTGCCCAGGAGATGGGAGTTAGTCACCAAACCATTTTGAACCATCTGCAGAAGGCTGGATACAAAAAAAAGTTTGATGATTGGGTGCCGCATAATTTGACGCAAAAAAACCTTCTGGACGTTGATTCGGTCCAGATATGCTGCTGAAACGGAACGAACTCGACCCAGTCTTGAAGCGGATGGTGACTGGCGACGAAAAATGGATCACATACGACAATATCAAGCGAAAACGGCCGTGGTCGAAGGCCGGTGAATCGTCCCAAACAGTGGCCAAGCCGGGATTGACGAACTACTCAAGTAAACTGACTCTTACAGCGAAATGCACGAATCGGACGTCTAATTTATATATTGTGACCTACAGTTTTTTCTAAGCTGTCTCTGAACGGCTGATGGTTTTTATGGAGAGCTTTTTTATTTCATGCCAGAATAATAAAATCGATCGATCGATCAATCATAGGCATCTCAAACAAGCCATCATCAAATCTGCAAAAAATATCAATGAGAGTTAGAACATGTCGATAAAATAGAGGACATTGTCGGGTCCGACAGCCATGAAAGCACTGTTTCGTTTGGCGAAGAGCTAAAGATTGCACAAAAAACCGTTTGGAAGCATTTGAATGAGGCTGGATACGAAAGGAAAAAATTAAACCATTCAATTTCATTAAACAAAAGTGGATTTCTTTAGATTTCGAGGGAAGTTCAACTGCATCGAGTTAATATATGACATGAAACAAAAGCTCCTCATAATATTAGCTTAGTATAAACTGTAGGTCCCCCCTTTTTTGGAAAAACATCAAGACGCACACCATAAATTGGAGGGGGAGCTCGGATATCCTTACATCAAGCAAGCAAACAAGATTTATATTTAGCCCGGGTTTCGATATTCTCTTCCATGGGCTTTCAGTTGAAAGATATTAAGCTTATTGATCTAAATTATTTTACTGTTGTGCAGTCCTTTTTGTCTGATTTTGGGATAGGTCCAACCAGTGTTTTTCTCCGCGACATCGGCATTCAAACCGGTTCGGTTCAACAGGAATTCATTCCAACGGGACAGACCGTCAATAAAGAGCTTGCGCGGAAACATCCGTCGTAAACGGCCGAAATTGTGGGCCCACAATTTTGTGGAAATTTGCATGACGATAATACGCCATCGCACCGAGCTGCAGTTGTGAATGATTTTAAGACCAAAAACTCGTTAAATAACATCGAACAAACACCGCATGCGACTTTTTTTTCCAAAACTCAAGTTACCACTCCGTGGAACCCGTTTCGACTCGATTGAGGACGTAAAAGAAAATTCGCAGGGGGAACTCAGGTCGACTGATTTCAACAGCTGCTGCAAACGAACCGGTAGACTAATCGCGCTCAGTTTTGGCATTGTAATTAAGGACAGCGCAAGGAACTTAACAAAAAAAAAAGTGCTGAAAAATATTCAGCGCGGGCAGTTTAAATGACAGTTTCCGGAAACTTACTGGCAACGCAAGGTTTTCTCTCATAACATGTACAAGCTTGGATGTTTTCTGCTGCTAATAGTATACTTTCCTTTCGGATAGTTGATCGGCCGCAGGTCGAATTAGTAAGATTAGACGCAAACACAGATCGTGCATATATAAGATCGCCTTGTTATTACACTGCGGTTAGCGGTTAAGCCATTCGTTTATCAAGCCCAGTGGGGAATATCTACAGTTTTAATACATCTCCGAAAGCCTAATGAAACAAAACTGCAGTAACTCCCTGAACTAACAACGCAATGTTCTTTTCATTTCACTTCGATCCACCACATTTTTCGTATTTTCTACTTAATCCCAGAACGTCAATTTAATAATTTAATCTAAAAACATTGAATTCGATTATTGGTAAAGTAGGTATTTTTGTTTAGTACACAAGTCATTTATGAAGGGCACATAAATGAGTTAATCTTATCATCAGATTATATTGGCAATATCACAACTGCGTGGCAAAATACCTGCTGAGGATCATGTTTACAAAGTAAAGAACCATAATATTTGAAATTTTAGCACTAAAGGTGCGCTTGTCGTGGTAAAATTTCGTTTATCATTTATTTAAAAAAAATCAGGTTTTACTAAAAAACACAGGAATTATCGATGGAGAAATTTAACGCAATTTTATTGTACTAGAAAGAATTAGATTAGTTTAATGTTCAGTCAGAACAGTTGTTTTTTCAGTTGTTGCTGCGTTTATTTTTAATATAGCCTAGTATATTTACTTGAATTTACGTTCTCTATAGATCAGCTTGCCAAATCCAAGATGGATTACATCAGTTATTTCATCATCATTTTTGTTATTATTTTGCTATATCAATTTTTCGTGGTGTGTAAAACGTTATGATTTTACAAATTTTATATTCAACTCAGTGTTAAAAATGAAATGTTTAATCTCTTCTTAAAAAAAAATGTAGGTCATGCTACGAATGTTTGCTGCAATGCGGGCAAAAAATCGTCAGGAAAGTGGTATGAAGTTAATGAAATTAAGTTAAAAAAGAAATACTTCAAAAATAATGTTTTCATCTTATCTGTTCAAGTACACAACAGAATAAATCAACAATGTGTTGGTGCCAATAGTTCGTGCGCCAGTCGGGTTTAATGGGCGACAGTCGGGTTTAATGGGTGACAGGCGGGTCTAATGACAGAAGGATATGGATTTTCTTTCAGCCAAAAAACGCCACTTTCGCAATATTCACAATATTCGCTAAAATGTAATTTCGGGAATTTTTTTTTCATCTACTACAAGATTCTGAAGAGTGTTCAGATTATGATAATGATAATTGATTTCAACGTATAGGCCCGCATATCCTGCTGATAGATAGTTGATCCTATAGAAAGTTGTAAGAGACAATTTCAAACAGAGTGGATTCATTGAGGGAATTAGTTAATAGCTTAGTCCCGCATTAACCATTACCACGTAGATCATTCGATCGATCGATAAGTTTTCCTTTATCAGATAGGGTATGCTTCACGTCGGACATATCATTGAAATATAAAAACATAAATCTTTTACCATAAAAGTGAAATAATTGTATGATTTATTATGAATTACGTGTTTCGAAAAAAGTATCAAGAAATTAAGTATGTCGTAATTAGTAGATTAGAATCACATAAAATTATAAAATAAAAGATTTTCAAAAGAAATGACATCACCGAAAAATTAAGAAGTAAAAAATAATATTTTTTCATTTAACCTTAAAAAATAAATTCTTGAGCTTATGTAAATATACTGTAAATATAGCGCTAACTAACCAATTCAACTTATGAATATTTCCTTTAAATCAATAATTTTTAATTTTTTAAAACTAAGTGACGCAGGAAATAATTGACAGCGTTTTCCAATTGCTATTCAAAGAAACGTTTCTCTTAAAATATGGTCCTGTTGAAAGTCCAGGCAATCCATTCATTTTCGAAAAAGTAAACTGCAAACACCCCGCCGGACTATCTATAAACCATTTAGTGCGGTTGAGCATGGGGAGGCTTTCCCACAATTAATCTTGGGTTTTCCGAGCCCCAGATGGCATAGCAATCGAGGTGAAAGTGGGTCTCATCAGTCAAGATGATTTTTCAATGAAATTTGTATGCTGAATTTTAATAATTTTAATGCGATGTTGAAGCGTGTATGGTTCCATTTTATTGCTGGCGCAGTTTTTATTTGTCAAATGTTTTAACATTAATTAATTCAAAATAGCACCACTTATTGGAAAACCCTTTATGCTATGGACCTTAAAGTTTATATTTTTTATATTATATTTTAACGAAAGTTTACTTACTTTTATTCTAATCTCCCTCTCTACATTACTTACTTCATTTCAGATCGCCAAGGCAACATTTTCACAATCGCCAATGAGACGACCAACAACCAGTTACCAAATCGATGCACTGATTTCTACTATGTTGAACCAAGCGCCACTGATGCAGCACGCATACAAGCACAACTGGAAAAGGATGAAAAGGACTTGCCCACCTATGAAGAGGTGATGGCTATGAGTTTAGCAGAGGTAAATGGCAGCACATTAGCGCTACCTCCCACTACTACGACGTCGAGCACTTCCGTAGCCACTACCGACACAGTAGTGCCAGTGCCGCCATATTCAGAGGCCGAGCGTAATGTCTTACCTACTGTCCATCAGCCTTCGAATAGTGGGCTAACTACTACTACAACCGGTAGCACATGGGCCGCATCAACATCACGCGCTGCTGCTGCTGCCGCTACAAACACACCAGTTGTGACGATCGCCAACTCGGTGTCAAATACGAGCGTGTAATACGCATAACTACTTAGTATGTGAAGAAATATGTTATGATCGATATATTGTTAAGTAACGCTCAACGAAAGTGTTCAATGAACGAATGCGGCATATTCGTCATCAATGTTCAAGGTGGAAAATCCGATTCAATACCGATTTCATTACTTGCAAACATGCATATGCACCTGCTTAGGTGTAAGCGAGCGTTACAATCTCCAGTGCCCCCATGGTAATGCCATGAACTTTATTTATCTAGTTACTTTTTTTTGTGGAAATTATCATTTATTTTATAAGAAATTAATCATAAAAAGTGTGAGCAGTTTAAACTAGATTTACTAAAACCAAATCATACATAAATACGTATGTGTATATATGTAAGTGCGTGTAGTAAGTAACTACGAGTAAATTAATATATTTAAATTAAAAACATCGGTGATCTTTTACTGTCAATAAATATTATAAAAAATTAGCGTAAACTATTGTAATGTAAAAGCTTTAAAAATATATATTTATATTTCTAATACATACAAATTTAGTATGTATTCAAGATAAAAATAGATAGGAAAATAAATTTTAAAATAACCGTATTGAATGTGTTTGACAAATAATAGCTGTTGCAGAATTCGTCGTTTAAATGGTTTTATATAAGCAATGCTGACCTACTTGGATGGAGTTGCTGCAGAAGCTGCAAGGAAGAGGAAACGATTACCCACCTCTTACACGACTGCCCAAAGCAGGAATAGGTTTTACAATTTTGGGACCCATGTATCTAATGAGGTTCATTAGAGACTCGAAATGGTTGGATAACGAAGCCTAATGGTGAAGTTTTTGTGGCATCGGTAGCCACCGCAGCCTAACCTAACCTAACCTTAGTAATAATTCAATAAAACGTTTATCAACATTTTTAATATAAAATAAGACTGCATCGTAACAATAAATTTCACGTCAATAAAAAAATTGTTTTTTCGTTTCGTTTGAAACGTTTGAAAATATTAACGTTAAAGCAGTTGTCAAAATAAATTTTATTCATCTTTTAAACGAAACGAAAAGCTGAAGTTAATGTTAAGTCGTTAACAGATAATGTTAAACGTTAAAATTGTAGTGTGCTGGTAGTGCATAGAAGACAGCCATTTTAAAATTAAATCAACGTTTGAATTTTATTTCGATTTGATAAAATGGTGCCTAAACGAAACAAAATTATTCCGTTGAGTTTAATTTCCGTTGCGTTTGTTGAATATCTCTGATATAAAAACGTTTATTTGTATGTTTATTTATAACGATCGCCGAAACTACCCAACAAATTAAACGAAAATTTGTCAGTTGGTTTCTATTGTTCCTTTAGAGGTTTATACGAAAAAAAAATGTTTCGAGAAGTGGACGTGGGATCGAACTTTCGAAAAAATTTTCTTTGTGGTTTTGGCTAGCTGAAAGTGCGTTTTTGCTTAGATTAAGGAAAAGTCCGCTTTCCCCTCCAGGATCTCGGCCAGGGACCGACCTATTTTAGAAAATCATATTTATAGCTGTTTTTAATTGAAATTATTTTTGGTTAGTGGAAGTATAACCATTTTCTTAATATAAATGAGACCCTAACAAAATAAATATGAAGAGAATTTTGCGAAATGTAGATATTAAACAAATATGCATAAGAAAACATACATACATATGTATGTATACAATTGCTCACAAACCTTTTCTTGAAATCCTCTTCTCACAATAACCCACAACACACTTTTTTACCGCACCGAATTTTTAAGCACAATTTTTTCACACAGTTCACTATGTCGTATTTTGCACTAGGACTTACACATAATAATAATAATAATAATAATTTGGCGCTTTGTAACCGCCGAAGCAATTCTCGCCGAACTCCCCCTCTAATTTGTGGCTTTGTGTCTTGATGTTTTACCAACAAATGAAGGGACCTACAGCTTATACTAAGCCGCCTCCGAACGGCTGATGGTTTTTTTATGATGAGCCTTTATTTCATGTCAGGAATACACTCGGAGGGGTTGACATTCCCTGCCGAGGGGCGATCGCAATTATAAAATTTAGCTTAATTTTTTATTTAAATTAATTTTCTATAACTTTTGGATGTTGGCCACACGGGGATTTTAACCCGAGCCTTCCGAATGGTAGTAGGCAATAATAACCATTCGGCTACCGCGGCCACGCGGTTCAATACATTTAGTTCAAAACAAGTCGTCTAAGCTTCTTGTTAGTTTAATTTTTTTGTGTTGGCAATGTCACATGCTCCAGCGATTGTCAGCAGCTGTTATTTTGGGTTTTGTTTTGGATAAGAAACTTCTAGTGCATAGCTATTATAAGTAGTAATATTATCTTCACATTAGTTAAGAGCATGAGCGGAATTAAGGTAATGGTTTCAAAACTCATGAAGTATTATGACAATTATAATTTATAACAGGTTGAGTTTTCAGTACAAATGCGCGGTGAGCAATGCGCTGAAAAGATCCACAATGCACTCAAAGACGCCGGCAAAATTCATATTGACGCCACTGAGGGACGGGTGACAATAGAAACAAAGGAACCTTGGTGCATTTTAAAAGAGAAAATCGAAAGTACTGGACGAAAAGCAGTATTGGTAGGATTTGGAGGGCAATCAGCAGTTGCTATTATAAATACAACAGGCAGCGACGTGGATAGAACGCCTATTCAAGGAGTTCTCCGTTTTAGTGCGCTTACAAGAGATCAACCAGGTTTGGTTGTGGATGGTGTTGTAGATGGTTTAACACCGGGTTTACATGGACTACATGTACATGAAGCAGGTGATGTGTCCAATGGATGTGCATCGATTGGTGGACATTACAATCCACGCGATTCGCCACATGGTAGTCCAGATAACGCACCGGATGAACGACATGCTGGCGATTTAGGTAACATACGTGCTGATGAAGATGGTCGTGCCACTTTCCGATTTGTTGACCCTGTACTAGCCGTTTGGGATATAATAGGGAGGTCGGTAGCGATAACAGCGAACGCTGACGATATGGGTAGAGGCGGTAATGCGCAAAGTCATGTTGATGGCAATTCAGGTGAACGGTGAGTTTTTGTTATCTGACAATTCTAACAATCTAATTAATTTATTTTTATTTTATAGAATTGCCTGCGGTATAATTGCACGTTCAGCGGGAATTATGGAGAATTTCAAGAAACTGTGTGCATGCGACGGTGTCACGCTGTGGGATGAGCGATATAAACCTATAGCCGGCGCTGACCGATCACAAAAATTGTAAAATAAGTCAATACTGCTAGTTAGGTGTAGCATAAATTCTACGTAAAAGATAAAGATTTGTATATATTAAGTTCTATGTTATAGGTGCTTTGTGATTTTGAAACTAGTAAAGTGATAAACTCGGGACATGCGTTTAATGATTTTTTATTCAATCAGAATCAATAACTATACTCTCAGCGTCACCTCTCTTCTTTGACTTTATTTTTGCCAAATGCAGTTTACATTTAGATCTAAAACTTTGAACCAGTTTGCCGCAATGCACCAGCGGTGATATCGAAAATGTAGCATGAATCTAAAAAGCATTATGTACTTTCAAATTTACAATAAAAATTAATTAAAAGTAGTAAGGATTACCTCTAAATAGTCCTCAACGTCTTCATAAGGAATACATTGGTCTAAAAGGTCAACTATTGATTTAAATTCCTCTACCTTAAAAACGAATTTCATATCACTAATATTTTGTTTGTACCAGTTGCCATAAGCGGTAATATTCTGATCAATATCCATTGTTGTAGCAGTTGCAGCGCGAACCGAAAGTAATAAATGAAGCATATCTTCGCGCTTAGGAAATGCAGCAATTTGACTAAGGCGGGTTTTAAAATATTCTATAAGTAAAGTGAATAAAACATTTTATTAATGATCCATATTTCGTAATATGAATTTAAAAATCTTACTTCGAATGAAACTGGAACTTTCATGCGCACATTTACTCGAAATTGTTTGTAACAAAATAAAGTAAAATTTCCACTGATTAAAATTTTCCTGTGTAGAAAGCTTGAAGAGGTAAGAAACTGACTCTTCTTCATAATCTTTAAATAACTGAAAATATAATATGTTAAGATCAGCATTTCTCTTCTATTTAGCAGAATTCTCTATCTAGTAAAGAAAGATAAACTCACTTTGTCATACAAAACTTTTGTAAATTGTATATCATCCACACCTTCATTTATCCAAGTCGTGAATTTAGCAAAAGCCGTCTTAGTATCGCTATTGTGTAGATCTAAGCAAACCCGTATGTGCCTCTGAGCCAAACTGATTTTAAAATCCTCTAAGGATTGATATACATATATAATATAAGTAGGTTGAATTTTCATTTATTAATTTTTAACTTACTTGGCATATTATCTGTAATGGTGTCAATATATTTTAAATCATTTATATTAGGATTTTCTATTAAATCTATATAAAGTCTACTGAGACACTCCTCAAGCGCATCGTTTAAACTTATGGCATTACTACTATCTACAAAAATTTGGAAATTGTCACATATACTGATACCTTTAATTAAAATCATATTACCGTAATGTGCGATAGTAAATAATTCTTTTATTAATTCAAATTCAGCTTCAAGAAAGTCATTCAGCTGCAACTGCACTTCTTCGATATTCTCTTGACTGTAAATAGAGAAAAGAACTTTAGGAAGTTGTAGAAATGTTGTAAAATTCCCAACAACCTTCTAATATAGTTACTTGCTGTAAGTACATTAGCTGATTGTAAGACAGCTAAGACACGCAAACTACCTATATTCCATGGCAATTTACAAAAATGCCTCGCAACAAGTAGCTGAAATATTAACAATTACAATATCAACAAAATGAAAATATTTGATAGGATAAACAATTTATATACCTGTTCAACTGGATTTAAACTTTGGAGTAAAATTTTCAAATCAGAACGATCAAATAGTATTGGCTTTCCGCATCTCTTCTCTATAGCCTATTAAAAAGCATAACGCTGAATTACGCTTGCTAAATAAAAAAATAGACAACTCTCGTTTTACCTGATAAACAATTTTTAAACTCTCATTTATTTCATAACTCATTTTTCATGCTAAAGATACTAATTTGAAAGTTTCATTAAACAAATGAAGAATTTTCTGTTATCAGTAATTTCTTTTAAAGTCGCGCCAAAGAAAACAGCTGTTTTCTCTGTGGACTATACAGCAGGTTTGTTCCTCTACGAGTGTGTGCGGCGAGCTGTTGGGCAATACTTATTACTAATTTTTATTGGTTCGCGTTCGGTGAGGCAAAGTGCCAATAAAATTTGCAGCGAGGCAGCGCGGCAATTAGTTTGGAGGGAAAATTGCAAATTCGCCCTGGGAAGAATCAACCAATAACGAAACTGAGAGAGAGAGGTTTTACTTTCCCACGAAGAGAAATTTACTGCGGTTTCACTGAACAGGATCCAGTAAAAATTAGCCAGCAAGTTATACAACAACAATTTATCATGACGCTTATATTTGTCTCCGTCCATTTCCACACTTTTTTCTTTCGGTTATTACATATTTTTATAGGTATTTCTATAAAATTGGTAATTCATAGAATTTTTCATTATGCACATAATTATACATACTTCGTAATTATCAAACCATTAAGATGCCAATGCCAATTAATGTTGTTGTTGTAACCGTAAAATTAGTCGCCTCTTACGACAGACATGCCTTCCCGCGGGTAAATTCTTGAGCCCCTAACCCGTAAGGGGTACACATACCTCTTCTGATAGTCCTATGAAATAGACCATTTCACCGAAAGAAACATATGAATGATAAAGTTGCGTAAACACGAAATTGATCTAACAAGCCTTTATATATATGCATGCATACACATAAGAAGCGCTGAATAATACTAACGTAAACAACAATGAAATTTAACCCACCTTAATAAACTCGTACTTACAGTGCCCACAATTGCAGTACTCACTCATTTGATATGGGCACAGAAATATTGTACATGCATAGTAACTTTTAAATAATAATTTCTTTTAATTCAGCTTGAATCATAAATATGTATACGCATTCGCGTTAAAACCGCAGAGCAGTTAAGGCATCCTAAGAGAATGCTGCCTTTGGGGAAATAACACTACAAACTTGTTAGTGGCTTTATTAAATTTAACCAGTTTTTTGCATTGAAAAGCCTTTTCCAAAAACGAACGGGAAAATAAAATAAATTAATTAAATAGATATTTTAAATTTAAAAAAAAAAATAATAGTAGCTTATCGCTTATCAATTTGTGTCTAACAATAAATGCTGGAGTGTTAGTGACCGATTTTGTGGCAAAAACAACTATTTATATACATACATACATACATACATACAAACATACACGTATACATATGTATGTCATACAACAAATTTCGCAAAGTGATAAAAATAATTCCATATTGATAAGTTGAAGAGTTATTTACATATGTACATATATAGCATACATACGGTTTATAAATAATTATGCACTCCGTTGGACTCACAGAGTTACGGTGTAAATAAATATATTTAACGCATTAATAATTGCTATTTCAAGTGTGCCATTAAAACCATTTATATATACATACATACATATGTACATATACAATACATAATATGATGTGCTCTCACAGATAATAAAAGTGATCGTTGGCTTTAACAGTGCTGTTTACATACATAAATACTTATTGCAGCATACATATAATATTTGCACAGATTGTTGCAAATTGGTTGAGAAAATATGGAAGATCTCAATATTTGCATTGTATCATTAGTGATAATAGTATTTTTACTATTCATTATTCGTGTGAGTAAATTTTACAACAACTTTATATACATAAGTAATACAAATCTATAAAATTGTCAAATCCTGACTTAATCTTTATATTTCGATTCGAAATACATATTCTCGACCGATTTTGCTTATCATATTTATTTCTTTATATCATAAAAAAAATCGTTATTCTCGGATTTAACATTTTGTTGTGACGCGTGATATTGTTTTTTTGTTTTTAAATCGTAAAAAAGAGCCAATGTCAGATAAAACGATTTTCTTTGCCTGACATTTTCTAACAAAGCAATGGCTCCATAAACATTTCTTTTCACCAAAATTTACGCTTTTGCGTAAAAATTTAAAATCTGTAATATTAAGAAGAATTGATCTTTGATTACAGTTTCTTAATTCACGTGTACAGAATTCGCTAATAATGAAAAAAAATATTAGCAATTATAGAAATATTCAGCGAATGATCAACGCACTCAAAAAGATAAGCCCGATGGCAGATAAAACTTTTTGCATTTTGACATTTTTGACTTTTTGACTTTTTGACATTTCCAACATTTCCAGCAAAGTAAAAGACTACAATGCTACAGCACAGTTAATATTTTTCACTTCAAAAAGTAAATTTTGTTTTTTTTTTCTGTGCAATTCTAGGGTATTCGCAGAAAATTTTACGAAATACATACATATATAAGCTGCTTTCATTGAGAAATGTCAGTAAAAACCAGCAAATTAAAGAAAGTATGATGTTTTACTCTTCAAAGGAAAGAAATTTATGAGTTTTCAACAAACAAGATCCAGTAAAAATTAGCCAGCAAGTTATACAACAGTTGTTTATTTTAGCGGTTAACTTTAAATTCGTACATTTTTACAGTTTATTATTTATGGTTTTAAGTATTTTCCTAAATGTTTTAATAAATTTGGCCATAATGTAACATGTTTAAGCTATTAATTGCATTCAAAATTTATTGTGTTTCAACAGTGATGAAATTCCATATGCTTTATATCCGTCCAACGATAAAGATATCAATATATTTTTTTAATAGTTCTCTAAAAAAACGAGGATTGATGTAGAGCATGCTTTGCAACAATTTGACATTTAGATTGGTTTGTTGGTAGAAATTCAATCAATTGATCACAAATCAGCTGTTTGTCATACTTGCTGGTTTTTACTGGGTCAAATTTGCCTAGAACGAATTGCAGCTTTCTCTCCATCTAAAAGACAAAATTGCCACCTCTCATTGTTAATTTTTACTGGGGTTTTCGCTCAACGAACAGGATCCAGTAAAGTTTAGTAAAAAAAACTCTGACAAGAAATATTCCGAAACTTCCGAAACGATTACATTAGTAGTGACAGCGACGACTGTTAGCATAACATTTTCTGCTAAATTATACAACAATAAACACATGGGAATTACCGCATTTAAATGCGATGTTTAAATGCATTTAAGCTAAAGTGCATTTGAAGTCCGGTGGAAATAGGCTATTACTGCCCATCTGATCAAGGCACAGAACTATAGCCAATGCGCAGAAAACAATTGTATATGTATACAATTTCCAAATATTGAATATTTTAAATATTTATGCTTTTATTTAAATCGTTCGAAATGGAATTTTATAAAAGGTTTGCTTATTCAGACTGAAAATAGAGTAGAGCAGCTCAAGTCCAAGCTAGAGTAATCTGGCGTAACCTAGAGTATCTCAATAAACAAACCTAATAATCAAAAAATGAAAAATTTTATTGTATAAAGAAAGGCAAACTGAAAAAGAATTTTAAATATATTAAGAATAGTGAAGTATTCTCCTAAATCTTGCCATGCGGCGGAAAAGTTTTATCTCTCTTCGCCTTAACATTTAAGAAATATCGATCAAAAGTGATCGTAAATTTTAAAATCAAAGAATAACGATTAATTTTGATTGAAGAAAGGAAAATGGTACCAAAACTTTCGATGTGTTCATTATAGCGAGATTTCAATGTAATACCAATTCTTCAAAACAAACCCAAGAATTCTTTCAGTTGTTCAGTAATATATGAAAACATTTTCTTTACTTGCAGATAATTTCCTTATCAATCCGTAATATAATTTTATTGCGTCAACTGAAGTATGAAGGTAAGTGACACTTTCCTATGTCTTTCAACTTTTATCGAAACTCCAATTGTTTGCATGTACTGTTTATAAACAAGACCGAATGTGTACACAAATATCTTTGGTACAGTAATGACAATTTAAATAAATTTAAATGAAAATATTCCTACTGTTGTATGTGCATACATAGCGTAGGTTAGGTGTTATCATTTTGGCATACCATTAAGGGTTCAATATAACCCAGGTGACATTTTTTTTTTTGCAGTGTGGCAAACGACGAAATTTTTACGAATTCAAGGTTCATTGAATCCGAGTATTGACCTTTATTCCGCCTAACCACACTTTACATTGAAGTTTTTCAATAGTATATCTTACATTAGCAGCCACAAAAGCCCTTAATGATCGCTTAGAATGCAACCTAAAAATATTGATCCAGCACAATGTCAAAACCACAAGTGGGAACAAAGAAGATATCTTGCACCTTATTGTTGTAGTAGCTGCAAAAATAATCACCAAATCGGGTTTCATGGAATATTGCGGGAGTGACAGCCCTAGGTTGGTATAAAGACCCACCCGTCGCGGAAACTTTTTTGGTTTTAGCCGCCCCTTACGACAGACATGCCTTACAGCGATAAAATTCTGGAACCCCTACTCTGCAGGGGAACTTAAAAAATCGTTCAAGGACCCTTATCGAGATTTTCGTAGAAATGCCCCATCCTATGAAAGTGGCGTGCTGTTGGTCAAATTAAATTTTTGCTAAATATTCCAAGTATGTACATATATATATACACATACATATAACTACTCTGCAGGGAAATATACTAGTTGTCAACTAGAATCCAACTAGCTTACATTTTTATACCAACTAGTTCATCTTCCTCCATTTTCCCTGTAAGCAACCGGTATTTTCAACACGGCGATGTCATACGAGCTGACAATTGTCCTACTATGCATCAGCTTCATACTAGTTGTATACTAATTCATTTAGGCATGTTGGATTTCTACTTCACCAAAAAAATTATAATAATAAAAAATAAGTAAAGTAAAAATGAGTTTGTCGTCAACTCAATCGAATCGAACCGAGCTGGGCTACGCCATTTTGCGCGCTTCAATAGAGCGAAGAAGAGAATGGAATTCAGCCGCGGAGTGCCGATATAACAACAACAAACCGTGGTGGAAATTATTATTTTTCCCGTTACTGGTGGACTTCTTTACAAATAACGAACTGGTATGATTTCATCTTCAACATACTAGTATTCAGCTAGAATATTTTGATGAAAAAAATTCTGTATCTTTCTGTTAATCTCAGCAAAATGCCACCAATGTAACGAATTTCAAGTAACCCGAACCATAAATAAGATATTTTCGAATAAGTCAGTTCTTGGTCCACTTTTCGGAGAGAAGTGTAGTCGTCCTGTTAACTCAAGCACACCTTTGCACCGAATTTCAATAAATTGAGCCGCAACTAAGATTTTTTCGAATAGGTCAGTCACCGGTCCACTTCTCGCAATTTTTTTTTAAACCTTTCCAGGAATCATAGAAACAATGTAATAAAATTTAAAGTCAAACGTTCTGTAATTTTTGGCAATTTTTTTAAATTTCTGGATTTTTTCAAGCGGATATAACTTTTTTATATTATATATAAGATTTCCACTCTGTAGCAACTGAAGCAATTTTCGGCCGTGCTCCCGCTCCAGTTTGTGGTTTTGCGTCTTGATGTTTTTACAATAAATGGAGGGAGCTACAGTTTATAGTAAGCCGTCTCCAAACGGCTGTTGGGTTTTTTATGAGGAACTTCATTTCATGCCCAAAATACACTCAGAGGGAAGGACATTCCCTGCCGAGGGGCGAGCGCAATTAGAAAATTTAACTTAATGTTTTATTTAAATGTATATGTAATATATATAAATCTGTGTAAGTGTATGGTAGTGAGTTTACAAATTTGTTTGTTAATAAAATTATAACATTTTTAATGTATTTTTTTTTTAAATCAACCTTATGTATCTTATCACCTCTGCCCATTTGTATATACATAAATGTATTTAAAGTTGTCTTAAAATTCAAAGATAAAACAAATTACACAACAAAAAATTCATTGGAAGGGTCTTAATTAATATCCACTCGCTGAGTCAATGAAATTTACTGAAAATAAATTTTAAAGTAATTTTCTACATAACACGAAACTGTTGACGGCATAGTGTCCGTGTAGAATAACTTTCAGTTCGACTGACACGAGTAATAGATTGTGGTTAAAAATAACAGTTCACTTTTGCTTGGATAATACAATAATAACAATAAAATTTTTGAAAGCATCAAAATGCTTGACGATTTCGAAAACACTACGCCGACTAATGATTATACTAATAACCGAACGATCAGTGTTGCCACAACAACCGCAACACAAACGCATTCCGATTTTCATTGTTGTAACTGGTTTGGACTATATCATTACTTGGTGGTGCTTTTCATATTTTTCGTTGGCTTATGCATACTCTTCGTAAAGGTAATCTGAAATTAGTATACTACTTTCTGCGAATAAATGCAATATCAAACAAATTCACTTAAACATTTCATACAGATGATAATGAAAGCTCGACGAAAGCACTACCGACGCTTACAGCCAGGTAATTTGAAAACGTTTATAAATATTTTTTATCAAAAATTTAAAACAATTTTTGGAAAATTGTAAAATTATAGCAAAACAGTATGATTGTTTCCTTTTTTTTTTCTTTTTATGTATATATTGTATATATATATTATATATATGTAAGTAAATATGTAAGTAAATACTTTTATTTACGCATAAGGTTGTATTTATCACAATCTAACGATTTATAATTAAATATCGACTACCGAAGAAAGAAATGAATTTCAAAGTAAGCGCGCGCAGTTTGGAAAAATACATGCATACATATGCATTTATGTATACCTTATCAAGTCATTTGTCATTGATTCATCGGCACAAATCCTATAAATTAGATAAAATTTGCACACATTTACCGACAGTGCTCGAAAGGGCATAAAATAGCGTTGGGCCATGTGTATATGAAATAATTTCAAATATATTTTTCACCTACACACTGATGTGCATACCTACATACGTCCTTAAGCGCATAGAGCTCATTATCAATTTGCAAATGAAGACCCAAAACTTGTGTGACAATTTTGACTAAAGCGCTTGGTTAGTTGAACAAGACCTTTGCTCCGTAACGTTTGGTATCCTTGAGGAAAGTCGGTGATGTCGGCAAACAATACAACAATCGGTACAACAATCGCGACTACAAAATCGCCATATTTGCATAATGTCACAACTAACGGTACTATGTATCCCTCGGCAACGGTTACGCCGATTAACACTGGAATAATTATATATAGTGATTATTGGTATTGGGATGAGATGTATTACATTTACGTTGTTTTGTTGGTTCTAGTCTGCTTCGGATTAGCTTTCGTACGTACACATATATACACATACATACATACATACATACATACAATTATGTTGTGGTGTTTAAGAAACTAATATATTTTTCTCACCCACATGTTCAACAACATCATACAATAAAAAGGGTGCTTATGCACGTTCTAAACGTTTGGCAGAGCAGAAACGAATAGGTAAAGTTAAAATATATTTTTTTTTAAGCCTGTATGAGCATTTAATTCTATTCTTACCTCTAAGTACATGCGTATGAATATAATTGATTGAAAAATCACAATCTGAAGACTAACTGCTGTGTTTTTTGGAACACTCTATATATTGGTCAAGTAAAAAGTTCGTTCGGTTTTCTTAATTGATTTTTCAAAATATGATAACTTTGTGTACCTTTCCGATTTAAATCAAATATGCGCCGTTTTGTTCGTAAACTTGTTGGCAATGAGATGCCAACTTCACTATACCCCTCTCGTAGAAGTTTGCGTCCCTATTGGCAAAAAACTCGGAGACCCAATTTTAACAGGCCTCTCTTGAGGCCAATTTCTCAACATTAAGCGCGTTCGACATGGACAGGAAAAGATGGTAATCACTTGGTGCTAGGTCTGGGCTATAAGGTGAGTGCACTAGGACCTCCTATCCGAGCTCCTGGAGCTTCTGGCGCTTCACCAAATACGTGTGTGGCCTGGCGTTGTCCTGATGGAATACAATTCCGCCTTTGTTGATCAAAAATGACCTCTTCTGGATGAGTGCTGCCTTCAAGCGGTCCATTTGTTGGCAGTAGAGGACCGAATTGAGCGTTTGGCCATAGGGGAGCAGCTCGTAGTAGATGATTCCTTGCCAATCTCACCAAACACACCGCTGCGGTTCAGCAACGATTTGCAGATGGAAATTCGTGTGGCACCCAAACATCGAGCCTCTTTTTGAATCCAAGGTTATGCAAATAGTTCCAAACGGTTTTCTGGCTTACCTTAAGTTCCTCAGCAATTAAATGAGAGCTCACGTGACGCTCTGTTTCCACTATTTCCATGATTTTATCGCAACTTTCGAAGACAGGCCTCCAGACGCGTGGTGCATCTTTGACATCGAAATTACCGGAACGGAACTAAGCAAACCACTTTTGTGCTACACCTTCGTTTGAAGTATCGTGCCCACAGACTAAATAAATTTTTTTTAGCCGATATGGCTGCCTTTTCGCCTTGATCGAAGAAAAATTGTATAATAAGGCGAATTTTCTCTTTGCTGGTGTCCATCTTTGACGAGCGCTCCCAACGTCCTGAGTCAATCAATCGAAAAACTGTCAAAGACAAGATATCTTTGAAGAGAATCTAGGCTTTTTTGTACAATATAAGCTGATTTCGTATTACTTTAATTAAAAGATAGCCGTTTCGGGCAAATGAGCCGCAAAAGAGTGCGAATCAAGACGATATTGCATCCTTCATCAGCAGAAAAAGAATGTTCTCAATTCGTCGAGTATATTTTTTTATATATTCCCTCGATTATCTTTTTGCATACAAGTCCAATTTTGATATTTATTTATTTTTTATTGGTCCCATCGACCAACTTATAATCCCACATATACCCACGCCACATAGATTGATAATGAATCGTGAAATTTCTGCCCCAATGTGAGCTGGTTTTGCTGGCTTTTTCGACTTTTATTATTTTGATTGTTTACATAATAAAACTGGTGCTTTAAATGCTGTCAAAACTTTGGTCAAACTGATAATCGGGGTTACAATATATATTGTCAAACGAACTGGTCCATCTCCATACGATCCAGTATAGTGTATGCTATTTTGATAGTCCTTATATATAAGTACTCTCGAAGACTTCATGGAAATGCCCAATATATTTCCCATCAAGACCCTACCCTAACTCACGCGTGCGCCTTCGAGCTGCTGTCTCATTTAACTTGGTGAATGGTTGACAAGATCAGCTGAAGCGTCCCATTGGATCATTAATTTGCATCATACTTTTTTGGTTAGCACTGCATACTGACACTCGGAAGACAGTGTTCAGATTCTGGTTCGACTAAAATTTAAAGTTATAGAGAATTTATTTTTATGGTCGCCCCTCGGCAGGGATGGTCAAGCCTACCAAGTGTATTGCTGACCAGAGACAAAAGCTCCTCAAAAGAATCCATCGGCCGTTCAGAGGCGGCTTAGAACAAACTGTAGACATCCCTCCATTTGTTGCAAAACATTAAGACGCATACCACTAATTGGAGGAGAAGCTCGGTTGCAAATCGCTTAAGCCCTTAGTAAACGCTAAATATACACATATATTAGATATGTGTAAACAATTATATAAGTAATTAAATTAGGCAATATTACAAACATACAATATTTTTATTTCATGTTTTAGAATTTTACATTAAATTATTCACTGGACGTTTACTTATGTTATTGCATTAACCTAAATTTGTTTGTACGTTGCAGTTAATCTGTTAATAATGGCTGATTCTCAATTCTAAATATAAATTAGCAGTCAACACATACACACAACAATAATTAACTAGGAATTAGAATTAAAAAATTAGCGTACACCAAATTTGTCTATTAATTCTATAAAAGCTGTTTCAAAGCCGCCAAGAACCCGAAATTGATGAAACCCAAATACACATAATAAATATTCAACTTGAATATTTCCCATCTTTCACGCACCGCCAGTCTCAGTGCAGTCCAACGGGTAGCACTGCTCAATGATTTTTGTTCGCTGAACGTTGAATGCACACAACACTTGGACATAACCCAGAAGGCAGTCATGCGGTTTTGCGTGCGTAGCGTAGCCTCGATGCCGCGTATCAGGTCGTTGGTTTTGAGAATGAGCAACATTTGACGATCAACCTGCTCCAGCACATCGGAAATGTGTGGCAACACAAGTGAGGTATTGTTCTGTAGCGTAGCTTTCTGTGAAAGAGAAGACAATGTGTTGTGGTTAACATTCGTTAGTTAATATTTTGCTGAATAACTCACCTCCTCTTTGGAGTACTTGACTTTGTTGATGCCTTGTATGAGCGTTTCCCATGGTCGACCCGTCACCATGCAAGCAAACAATCCATATAAATCGCCTTTAATACCCAAATTCTGACTATGCAAGCGCATTGCTTGGCGATCCACATTTAGTATGCTGAGCCACAGTTTGGAGTATTCATAGCGGAATTTGTCTGTTAGATTCGCATAGAGGCCATGATCTAATAATACGATTTCGACTTGCCCCTTCGGGCTCTTGTGCACCAGTATATTGCCCGGATGTGGATCGCTGTGCACAAAACCGGTTGTGAAAATCATTTCGGAATACAGTAGTCCAATTTTATTCGACACCGTGAAGGGATCAATTTTGTGCTTTTTAATATAATCGAGATCGTTGACTTGCCCACCTTCAAGATACTCCATTACAAGTACACGCGGTGAACTGAGTTCCCAATAAATCTTTGGCACGCGCAGCCATGAATATTTTTGAAATTGTCTCGCTACTTTCTCCGCATTTCTACCCTCGTTCAGAAAATCTAGTTCGATAGGCAGGTTTTTCTTCGACTCTTCAACCAACCATTGCACTTTGAAATCGGGAAATACGAGTGCCATCAGTTTCACTAGAATCTCCATCGTCTTCATATCGACACGTGAGTTACCCTTGACATAGGGATGTTGTACTTTTACAGCGACCACTTCACCGGTCTTTAGTGTAGCTTTGTGCACTTGCGCCAACGACGCAGTACCAAGCGGTTTTGGTTCAAATGTCTCAAATATATCCTCAGGATTTCGTTTTAGATCCTGCTTTATGACCTTATATAGATCTCCCACTGGATTTTGTGGCGCATTAGAGTGCAGCACTTTCATAGTTTGTACAAATTCTTTGGGCAGTAAATATTCCAGTGCGCCAATATGTTGGCCGGTTTTTATGTAGACCCCCTTATTGACGCAGATGAGGTCAAGCAGTTTTTGTGCAGCTATTTTGTGTACACGACTCCTTTCCGCCTTGTATTCCGGCGTACTTTTGTCCCACTCACGATAGTATAATTCACGTTTGTATGTGAGCGCCACGTCGAAAACAGTGACTGCCGAACGGCTGAGTCGCACAATACCCAGCGAATTGACATCGTAGTCGTTTGTGTGTAGACTGAGACCGGTGCTGACGACACCGGCACCAATGATGCTGTACGAAAGGACGCGTCGAAACATTTATGGCACACTTCTTACTTGTTTCGGTTTATATAAATTTAGAAGAACAACAGACGTGCAGCGTTCGAGGGTAGATAAGTGCTGAAGCTGGAAATGAGTCAAATTTAAACGAATGTAAACAAATGTACATACATAAAAATTAAGTTGTAGCAATTAAGTGGTGGTTAAAGGATTTTGAGTGTGTATTCCTAATTGTTGGTGACGCATTGAGGTGAATATTGATGATATGTTAAATAGCTGTCGATAATCATTAATCTGTTTTCGTATAGGTACTTAAGTATAGACGAAGAATAGGAAAAGCTAAGAAATCATTTTCTTGCTCTAAAAGTATACATATGCAAATATGTACATACATATATTTTTATAATATGCATAGATAAGCAAGAAGAACGAGCTTATGTGTTTATACCTTTGCCTTTCAAATTTATTATATTGCATTTTAGAGTAAAATATTACCACTTCTCTTCTTCCTCTTCACTGGCGTGGGCAACGCTTTGCTGTTTGGTGCCCATTAGAAATATCAAAAGCTGTCAGGTTTTTCCTGAATTTATCTTTTCAATGGAGTGAAGGTCTTCCCCTTCTTTGAAAACTTTCAAAGCTCATCCATCCAAACTACATGGCCTAGCCAGCAATTTCCCAACGTCGCCGTATATCTCGTAAAGCGTATCGTTCCGCTGTTGCCGATACACAAAAAAACCTTTCTCTCGAAAGCTTCTAATGCCGACTCATCGGATGTTGTCAATCCATATCTAGCAGAGTTTGGTTTCCTTCTTGTCCTCGTTCACCACCACACCCATATGCTTCGCTTTTTTATCCAGTTTGGAGAAAGCAGAGCTAATAGCGCGGTTGGTATCAACATCAGCGGCGCACGCCATCAGTTGTACACTCTTATAGAAGATTGTAACTTAGCTCTGCGGCACATATTATTTTCGCTAGCAAGATATTGATTCTCGATAAGGACTCACCTTATCTGAAACCTCGTCTCGATGAGGCCTTACGTATCCTGATGGATCGTGAGTGGGCAAATATCTCAAAAACTGGGAGAGTGCGTACAAACAGACGGGCATGATATTTAATCATCACTGGACTCGCCATTCTGCTCAAATCGAGATAAATATTAATGGGTCTATCTCTTCGTCCTGAAGCTTTACTGGTCTTCATTATTATATCAGGGAAGCTGAATGAGAGGTAACTATGTTAATAACTAGACTCAAAAGGTCTCAGAGCATATTTGATGACCAATATAACTCGTTGGGCGTCGGATTAAGCGAATAAAACATGATTCCCATAGCAACTTCGCAATTGAGGGCCTCTAATGTAGTTGGAATATACCACTCGGCGTATATTGATTTTCTTTACACGATTTTTGTAACTTAATAAAATACAACGGTAAATATTCCAACTTGGTGGGGGCGATAAGGATGAACGGCCGATGGATTTTTATGAGCACCTTTTATTTAATGTTAGAAATACACTCGGAGGGCTTGATATCCTCATTTAGATTAATTAATTTTCAATAATTTTGAATGTTGGTTGGTCGAAACAAGACTTTAATCCTGGCCTTCAGAATGGCAGAACGCATTGCTAACCACAGGAAAAGCATGAAAATGAAGACAAAAAGTATAAGACGAAACTTCGCCGTAAATTCGCGTAAGCGAAAGGAAGGACTCCATAATGTACACCAATTATCGTACGAAAGATTAAAACTTAGCATCAGTAAACTGATTGGATTTTATCAAAGTGGCATCAGATCTGGCAAATCAACCGTTGATCGGATAACTACAATTCTGGAAAAGGCCCGTGAGAAAAGAATTGACACATACCACTTCTACGTCAAGTTTAAAGCTTCTTTCGATTGCACAAAAAAGAGCTGCCGCTATTTTGCTATGCATAATTATAAGTCTATCCGAATCAGCGCTAAGAAACACAAAAAGCTGTGTCAAAATAGGGAATAACCCCTTCGAGACGTTTGGTACCAAATAAAGCTTCAGACATGATTGATATGCCTCAAACGTCCCATGACTTCTGCTTTTTCTAGACTGGATAAGAGGAAAAGTCGGAAAATTTAGTTCAATCAAACAAACCGCGTTCTTGTTTTGGCTCCCACGTCACTGTTGAAAGTTATAATTTTAAATCATCATATCAACCTGGATTATCCAATGCATAGTCACTTCTACAAATCGGTGGTACTAAGGACTGAGTAGGCTAATGAAAATAAAGTCCGCTCACGACAAAACAAGGGCCAAACTCAATAAGTCGCTATTCATTCATGTCCTACTTAATGGTGCAGAACAACATCCAATGACCCTGCGTTGCATGCTCTCGAGAGAACAGTTTTCTCGAGGATTTACGACCCTCTGCTTATGGGGCGATGGCGAATAACGCAGACGTTAGAACGAAGAGTTTTGTGAGACATCCGACGACATCGACGTGGTTCAGTGAATCGCCCTTCGAATGCACGAAAACGCTTCAGTTCTGAAAGTATTGGCTGCAGTACCTGAGCAACTGACTTGCAATATATACATATATTTCAAGCTTTGATGCCATGATTAAATGAGCATTGCAATTACATCAATCATAATTAGTTATGTGCGCGGCAAATTTTCATAGATTTCGAAGCGAGAAATGATAAGAAATACGTGACAAAGCTGAATATTAAACTAACAAAATTATTATGACCATTCATACAGCTGCTGATACGTTCACACACACACACGGCGTGTATATGCGAGGTTTGACAATTAAGTAATGAGACTGATTCAATAAAAATCGTGTATTTCAAAGTTATGACTGGATACCCTACCATCCTCTTCAAAGTAGTCCCCTTGGGCAGCTATACAAAGATTCTAGCGCGTTTACCATGCTTCTTTCTGGAACGTTTCGACGGGGATGTCCGCGAGTATCCTCGTCACGGCCGCCTGGATGCCCCCAATCGACTCAAAATGGGTTCCTTTGAGCACCGATTTTTTCTAGGGAACAAAAAAGTCACTGGATGACATATCGGGCGGTAATTGCAGCACGGCGATCCCTTTAAATTCAAATATTGGGAGACGCTGAGGGCGGTGTGGCACGGCGCATTGTCGTGATGAAGGATCCAGTTACGAGCGATGTCTGGGCGCACCCTGCTGACTCGTTTTCACAATCTTTCGAGTACTTGGCGACAGTAGATTTGATCTACGGTTTGCCCTGGTGGAATAAATTGTTTGTGGACGATTCCACAGCTATCAAAAAAGTCTTTTTCACCTTCGATTTGCTCATGCGAGTTTTTCGATACTGCTTTTCATTGTCGTGACGAACAGCACGAACGCACGTTCACTCAACACGACACATATATCCATGGCCAGGGGAAGGGAAACCGAATTCCTAGGTCGCAGGTTCGCCACAATCGTGGCAATATAATCAGTCTCATTACATTATTGTCACACCTCGTACAAATATATGTACGTAAAAATGTATCCGTCGTGAACAGCTGATTGTAATTTACAAAAAAAGAAAAGAAAGAAATAAACATAAAAAATCAAAAGCTCCACTACACATTTTTTAATTTTTTTTTTATCTGACGCAGAAGACGCTCGACAAGAGAAACCGTGAAGAATACAGCACGTTGTCTCAACGCCGATTGTTTATTTTTCGTGACTTTCACTGCGTTAATGCCAAACTACTGTTAATAAAATATTAACCAGCAACAGCACATCAATATCAAATAACTATGTATGAATGCCAGCGCCAGTAGAAGCGAGATCGGGCTGCTCGACCGTGTGACGTGGTTACATAAACAATGAATAATTTCAATTACATTTTCTATTACACTAGCGCACCTTATATATGTACACACATATGTACATACGTATGTATCTATTAAACTTCGATGATGTGCGAATTTCACTTATATAGCACTCACGTATGTATGTAGGTCTTGCCAAAATTTGTGAAATCTTTAGAATTTGTAGTAAAAACGTAAAGCACTGTAGCTTAGTTTCGTTGTAGACGATGATTTAACACGTAGAAATATGCTGAAACGCTGCCTGCAAACATGACTTTTGACACGGTTTTAATTCATTCCGAATGTTGATGAAGTCGTTGACGCAATAACGATGACGACAAAAGTCTTGACTTTGACCTTATCAAAATCATTCAACACATGCGCTTACCGTGAGCAACAACACCCGACTGACTAGCTAACACAATGCTTATGCGGCTGGCTCTTGACGATTGAGTAGTTGGACGCGGTATTTGTGTGTATTTCGGATGCGTTTTTATCGAATTTGGTCCGCTCTCTCTCTCACCCGTTTACATATAATACATATTTATGTATACATAGTTTTTAATGTGTTGCTTTTGTATTACAAATTCCTATGTTTACATATCTGCATGCCTTTTCCCTTAGTTATTTTCATTTTTTGAAAAGAGTGCGTTTCAGTATTTCAGCTCCACAGGTAGCAAAGCGCGATTGCATTGAATAATCATAATTAATTTGGATTCAACTAAAACCAAACACTCATGTTAATGATCATTAAGAAAAAAGAGAAGTAAATATGTGATAGGATTTTTATTTCAACTTCACAACATTCCTCACTTGGGTTTAAAAACAAAGAGTCATGGCTTTACGCCGAAATGTAGGCAATAGTTTGCTAGATCTTTCTCAAACATTAATTATTCTGGTGTCTGTTTGGGTTATCACATGAGGGGATCATATTCAGTCGAACAATAGGACCTAGTTTAATGTGTTGTTGTTTTAACGGCCTGTTGCAACTTGTTCCTTCAAGGGCTGTTTGGTCAGGCTCCGACCATGGCTGTGGTTTAAAATATTTATATTCATGAGGTATAACTGTGGTGAGAGGGTTCGCTAAACTGTGAGCAAAAAGAAAGATTAAAAAAGAAAAATGCAGAATACAGGGCTTAAGTACTTCTGCGTTAGGTGGTGCTTCGATTCTGATGACGTCCTGCACGAAGAAAGTGCTGTAACAGGTAAAGAGAGTATTTATATATGAAAGTGAGGTCTTTTTGAGTGGCGTTTAAGATCTGCGTCGCAATGAAATTATGATCGGGCTGTTCCGATGGAACGGACAAAATAATGAGCTCATTCTATTAAACTTGGTCTCTAGAGTAACAAAGAGGGAGAGAGAGAAGTAGTGCGACAGCGAGGCTCTCTCTCTTTGCCTGGGATAGAGCGAGGGATAAAAAAGATAGAGAGAGAGACACAAAAATAAGATAGGGAGAGAAAGAGAGACAAAAAAGATAGAGAGAGAGGCAAAAAGAGTACAGAGAGACCAAAAGGATAGAGAGATAAAAAAGATAGAACAGAGAGAGCTAAATAAGATAAAATAGAGAGAGAAACAAAGAGGATAGAGAGGGATTAGAATTATAGAATAAAGAGAGAGAGAGAAACAAAAAATATAGAAATGAAAAAGATAGAATAGAGAGAGGGAGAGAGATAAAAATATAGAGAGAGACAAAGATAGACAGAGAGAGGCAAAAGAGATAGAGAGAGCGAGAGAGAGACAAAAAAAGGTAGAGGGTGAAATGCAAAAATATGGGGAGATAGAAAAAAAGGTAAAGGGAGAGAGAGACAAAAAAGACATGGAGAGAGTGACAAAAAAGATAGAAGAAGAAAGCTAAAGATAAAACCTCTCTCTGGCAGAAAGAATGAGAAAAAAGACAGAGAGAGAGAGACAAAAAAGCAGTAAAGAGGCAAAGATAAAACCTCTCTATGACAGAAAGAATGAGAAAAAAGAGAGAGAGAATATATCAAAGTAAATGGTGATAAAAATCGAAATTTTTCTTCTGAACTAACGGTAAGGTAAGTTCCCGAGTGCTACATCGAGTTCTTTCAAAGCGATAAAGCTTTTATGGTGTCCCCGTATATCTCTTACTGTCGTTATGTGTCTTCCGTCGTTTGCATTATTCGGCACCACCAAAGAACCCAGATCTTCAGCAAAAACATTTTTCTCGGAACCTCCTACGGTTGACTCATCAGATTTAGTCATATCTATATTACATATCAGCGATCGGACTTTAGTTGCGTTGGTTTTCATGGCTGCTTTGTAAATTATATTAAACAATTTGAGACACTAATATAATATCTAAATTACAACTAATACGAGTATTTACATGTAATCGTAAATAATTATATTTTTATATATTATTCACCTTCTCTAATGTTTTTTTTAACTTGCTTACCTTTTCTTTTTCAACTCAGCTCGTCTCCGCGCTCAAGGAAGTGGAAATGTGTGTACACCACCAAATAACTCAGAGTGCCCGAATGCAGCGATGCCAAGATGTGACAATCCGCCCACATACGAGTCTGCCATGGCCAATTACATCGATGCCAAGCAGCAGCTGCGTGCGATGGAGGAGGGTGCTGTGGCCGGCGCTATGGCAATGACTGCGTCAACAACAACAATCGAAACATGTGTCACTGATGTTGAGTCAAGTCGCACCGATTTAAGGGCACCAAATGTAGTAGAAATAGCACCCACAGGCAGCATTAGCGTCAATTTAACCAGCGAAGAAACAAAGCCGCCGCTGCAGTGATAGGAAAGTGTGAATTATCTATGGAACCATTGGTGCACGTACTTGTGGTCTAAATTTTTACATCTACTTGAGCATATGTATGGCACCAATGAACCAACCAAAAAGCAATAACCACCTCTTCCTACTTTAATTAATGCTATATACTATACACTGTATCAAAAAAATATATAAACAAATGCTATACTGCTTAAATGTTTGTCAAAAAAAAAAGTAAAATTTTTTTCTGTGTATTTTATGTAAAAAAACATTGAAAATATTCAACGTAAAAACAACTAACGATACACTAAAACCTATAATTGAATTGTCAATTATTGAATTATGCCAAAACCTAAAATAAATAAATTAAACAAGAATGCTAAACAAAAGAAAAATATTGTTTTTAAAAAGGCGCAAATAAAGGTGAATGAAAAACAGCAACGCAAAAAAGAGGAAGACTGTGTCGTTATTGAGCCGTATATCGAAGTTGTTGAGCTAGTGGAGAACTCATCGAAGGATGCAGTCGCACCAGCGAAAGAACGTATGTGCACCACAAAATCATTAACAGAGGTTAACGCAGTTTCAGCAGCATCTTTGGAAAGTGTCAGTAGTAAAATGGTTAAGAGAAGGCGGTCTTTGCGCCTGCTGTCCATGAGAGCGATTCAGTGATTTATGTTTGGCTTCTTCATTTCTCCACATTTGTATTTGTAATTTAAATTTTTATTTTCTTATCCACACTATGTATTTCAAATAATAAATAATAAATGAGGAATTGGAATTAATTCTGATATATTAAAATATTTTTTCCATAAAAGCACGAAACTGAAAATTAATTAAAAATATAAAAGGATAAAAGTAGGCGTGCCACACCTTCAAACTCTATTTAGAATTGTATGCAAACTGGGCCCCCATTTGCCGTAAGGATCTTTCGCAACCATAAATAAATCATTGCACCAGGTAAAACCAATAACGCGATTTTCTATGAGTTTTTTGAATGCCGTATTTTCATTAATCAAATCTCGATAATTATCGTTGGATACAATGACGGCATCCATTTCAGCTGCCAATTGCAAAATAAAACTGTAACAAGAATAAAATTTTATTATTTTTATTATTAATCTGGCTTGGTTTTATACAGAAATCTGTTATCGTTTATGTACTTACCGATCATCATAACTTATGGTAAATTTGCCTGGTAAGTTTTTACAAGGTGTAACTACAATTTTTCCTGCGCTATGCAGTTCGAACATGGCAGCAGTATCGGAACAACGGTGCATACGAAATTGTGGCACAACAGCTTTGACGTCGTGACCCATTTTCTCAAAGTATTCTATACAAATTTTCAAACCTTTCACTGAGAACTCTTTATTGAGAGCGTGGCTGTAATAGAAAAAAAGTAATATAAATAAAATGTAACAAAAAAACATTTTAAATAAAAAAAATTATATTCTGGCTGTTGTTATTGTCGCAGTTCACTAACGTCTTTAGGATTCAGATGTTTACTAGAGGAATTGGTTTGATGGGTAATGCAAAAAGGAGATTTTTGTCGTCAACGCGCTCATTGAATGCTGAATATACGATGCGCGTGGCGCGATCCACTATGAATATGTAGGATTTTAGTCTTTTGCATTGTTTGTACATCAGGTTTACCATCACGACACATCTCGAGCTCGTCTGCAACAGGTAGTGGTGGTAAGTTGCGACTAACCTCCCAAAGTTCCCGCGAGCGCTGCTTCTTTATACCGGAACGACCAGGATTTATAGCCGGCCGCAACGTACCCTAAACTACTTTAGAGAATATTTCTGACTGACTCCCTATGACTGGAATTCAAGAAATGACACTACGTAGTTTTATTAGCAAGTTCGACAGACAGACTGTCGAGATTCGCTTCAAGCCAAAAACTTTAAGCAATTGACCGTACGAATTTTTGCATCATCTATTTTTGATTTCAATCCTAGCCAGTACTTCTTCCTTTAGCGGTTCATTTCTAAACAGAGGCATATAACATCAACATGACCATACAACAAGCTGCAGCAGTCGATGACTAAAGACATCAAGAAGTTTTTTTGAATTGGTGGAATTATTTACTCCTTTCACTAGCAAGAAACAAAGAGATAGCCCACCATATGGGTATGAATGGCATTCTCATTGTGTGCAAAATAATGGCGTTCTTTATTTCAGGGCCATTATTTAGAATTCCATAGGTATAAGGGTTGAGCTTCATATAAATAAATTATTGTTTTCATGCAACAAAATCTGATCCTGGATATTGAACACGACTAAAATTTTCATTTTAGTTAAAAAAGTTAACTTTTTCTTATGCTTTATCCCTTTCAGTATTTCAATTTAAAAAGATATTTTCTTGTTTTTATTGTTGGAGAAAAATAAAAATGTATAGCATATTCTCAGAAGCAAAATTCAACTTGCCTGAAATAAAATAATTTCTTATATTCGACATTTAGAAACGAAGTCAAATAAGATAAGATTACAAAGACGTGAAATCGGCCATTTTTACATACGTATAAATTGAATTTGAATACTCTGCTGAGCAATAATAACGTGTGTAACGTAACTTATATAAAAACTTCTCTCACACGAAAATTAATTTTTAGAATTGAGAACTAGTAGTCCTTTAGTTTGACTAAATTTTGCCATGTTTAGTTAGTATTAAAACCGAAACCCGGTAGGAAAAAGGCTTAACCAAAAGGGTTCGTCATTTTCAAATAGTATTCGCCTTATGTATTTAGTTAAGGTGTGACACTTTCAAGAAAATTATTATTTTTTTTACATTCTTCAATAGTTTACGCCTTCGAAAAAAACATACTTCGACCCCAGATGTATAACTTTAATAGTTTCGGAGTAATCGTAAAAGGCGGAGATCAGTCATGTAAGTTTAAGTTAAAGTTTTTTACGCGTTTTTCTCGAAACAGCGTTTTCGAAATTTGCTGTCATTGTAACTTAAAAACCAATAATCTGATCGACTTGAAGCCTTTCATTTTGTATTCAGTATTATTTCGGGCATAAAGTGACATATCGATCGGTTTAAAATTGTAAATTTGGCATGGAAAATACAATACAAATCAAGACGACGCCATTTTTTTTTTTTTTTTTTTTTTTTTTTTTTTTTTTAAGAATGAAATATAACACTTTTTAACGAGCAACTTTAAATAGACAAGTTTTCTATAAAAAAATTTCCAAAAATCACCTTTTCTTTGCTCTCATACTGGTTGAGCCACTTAAGGTAATTTTTTTTTTTTTTTTTTTGAAGAAAGTTTTAGTCGAACCTCGTTACTATAGGCCTTTAAATCAATTATGTAGAGATATGAATTGAGTTGATCTCATTTACTTACTTAAATGCAACATTACAAGCATCGATGAGTATTAGACGTTTTGCTGATAACTTTTCCTTTGCTTGTGGGTCACCAGCGTTTGGATTGTACGTATTATTATTGTAAGCAGTCAATTGTTTCTTCTCACTGTTGGTGAAAAGTCCACTGTTTATAGCTGCTCTTCTCGGTGCACGAGGTGGACTTACAGGCATTGCAATTGGCTAAAATATTTAAGAAATACATAAATTTATAAACATAAAAAGTTATATATATAAATTAAATGTATTTTTCATAAAATTAAAATTTATTTTATAAATTAATTTAGTATAGACACTTACATTCGGCACATTATCGCTGTGCAATGGCACAAAATCTAACGCTTGTGCTGGTTTATCGGAATTCGCCGCTGTTTCGCAGATGAATATCACAGAGTCATCTATGTGCGTTTGGTTAGCTTCCTCCGGCGCCGTTGGTTTAAGCGTAGACTCGTTGGCAGTATCATCCAAAATTATGACATCTTCCGAAACAGTTGTGGGATCTCCTGATTTTTTTCGTATACGATTTTTCTTCTTCGACTTTGTTTTGGGATTTCTAACCAAACGGGACAATTTGGTATAATTTGTCAAAGTATCTTCCGACGAGATGGTCTGAAGTGTATTAACGCTCGAAACATCTTCGAAGAACATTGCACTCAAATTGCCGAAACCATCGTCCAGGTTTTGTGTGGAATTTCGTGCAACATGTGGCGTTGAAGTTAGCACATTTGCCTGGAGATCTGTACTCCTATCATTCATACGCTGTATTAAAGAAACGTATCCCGAGGTAACATTGTTTTTGGTTCTCGAACGTGATGTGTTCGGTTTGTCATCATCGATAATAATTTGCTCAATTTGCGGCTCAATGCAAATACAGTCATCATCGTCATCAATATGGTTATTAGCAGGCAATGTGACCTTATCCTCATCATCTGAGATTATCTCACCTTCTTCGAGACTAATATTGCCTATATGGAGTTCTTTAATGGACGAGTTGTTTGGTAAATTTAATTTTCGTTTCAGATTATTTCTTTGTTCTAACTGCTTTGTTCTATTTAAATTTTTCAATTGACGTTTTCTGATAGCCCGCAACAGTTTTTTGGTAATTCTTTGACTGGTACTCGGTATGGGTAAATCTCTTCCATCCCGGTTGAGCCTGTTTCTACGCAGTTTTAAACGACGCTCCTGTACATAATATAAAAAAATTTAAAACAATTTTCTTAAGTTGTGCATTTTTAAGCTTCGGCCTACCGTGGTGTCACGAAATTTTTTAAAACCAGCTCTTTTGTGACAACTGCCAGCTGTTAGGGGAGTTTCGTACGGCTTAGGAAGTGCATAAATGTAATGAAAGTAAGATAGTTAGTATATGTCATTACGAGTAAAGAATTTGCAAAGAAATAATAAGGTTTTTATTAAACAATTTTACTTACCAGTTAAGCAACAAGCTAAGGCATGGACTGCTAATGAGTATAGTAGGCGCAAATTTGCTTTTACACCATGACTTTTACAGCAAGCCAAACCTTCATTTGTTGCTTACATACCTACCCATCCGATGCGCATAACAGTAATCTTACATTTGTCCTTTTTTGGATAATAAAATAAATAAACAAAACTGTAAGTTGGAGAAAAAGTATATTTTCCATAGCTCACATTTTGCTATTTATTCCATTTCACCAATATGACAAATGATCGTTAGATAAATCAAACACATTTCATCATTTCTATATATATTTATTTCAATTATTTTACATACATTAAATACAGACGTAATTAAACAACATTCGAATTTTATAGAGACTAATTTTTGTGCTTTTGTGGCGGTATAGCAAGGTTATTATATATTAAGCTGGTCTACATGTACTAGGTGGGCTCCATGTTTCTACCAACAATTTCAATTTGACACCGTTGAGAATTAAATAAATTTGTTTATTAATTTAACACTCAACACGCTAATAAAAGTGCGTGAATTATGTCCGCACTACATAATACGCAATCGAAAAACTAGCTAAATATTTATTTTATGTATGAATGTATATTGTTTTTAATTTCACGTTAACTTTCATTTGATTGAGTTGCATTTTCTAAACATTATCCTTTTAATATCAACATATGAGTACATTTGAATGCCATACAAGAGTAAATATCTAATCAAACACGTAATTCAAATTTAAGAATCACCTACATACACGTGAGTAGAGCAGTTTACGAAACAAAATTGCTAAATTGCATAAAGGCTTATGCTTTTAGTGTGCTTATTTCATCTTTCATATTCGCACGCGCTGTTGCTTCAAAACGGGTTTGAAATTGCGTGGTTGAAAATATATTTGGTATACTTAGTAACGTTTGAAGTACCTGCAATTTTTCAATTCATTTAGTAAGTAAACAAATGCAGTAATCAATTGTAGATACCTTCAAACGCATATTTTTATAATCATCGTCACTCATGTGACCATATTCTTTGCGTAATAGTTGGCAATATCGGTTATAGTTTTCACTGCTTGCTCTAAAAATGTAAAAAGAAATTAATAAAAATTATTATATGAATGACATGAGCAAAGTATAGCTACGCTAGTATAGCTAGATCCAAATCCTGTAGTAAATTGGCATCTTCTTCCCATGTACTTTCCAGCTCACTATCTGCAGATTTATCACCCAAAAGTTTTAATATTAAGTTCTTAGTTTCTACCTAGAGAAGGAAAGAGAACATTATTGTAAATAATACATATACATACGAATAGTTTAGTTGAAAACTTACATCATCCAACGATGCATCGCAGCAAAATTCTTCAAAAGCTGCACAATTTCCTTTCACACAAGGCTGTACACCGTCATATGAGTAATATTGAAAGAATGCAGCCAATACTAATGCAGGTCTACAATGCTGCAGATGCTCGTATTTATGTTGCATCATTTCATTCCAATTGTGATAATAACGCTTGGAGTGGCTTTCGTTAAGTCGTTGGTTTATACGTGTGTACCAGCTTTTGGCCACATCCTCGGGTATAGCAAAGTGTTTACACGCTTTGTGCCACAACTCCTCCATTTTGTTGTAATGTAAATACGCACTTACAGAACTTAATTTAGTTTCAACTTGGTTTTTTCGCGATCTTTAGGTATGTGAAAACTAATGAAATAGATTATGCGGAAGACACAATTTCTTTTTGCTAATGTAGATGATTCAACCTGAGTAAACGATTTTCAGTCTTCCTTTTTGACAAATCATTTAGGGGGTATGGATAGAATGGGGGTCAATGATGGGTAGTTTCACACAGAATGGGGATGAAAACCGTTATAGCAGATAACAAAGTTGCCAACCACATTGAATGTCAAATACGTTTAAAGTTTTCCTTTTTTCCGAAAGTAGAAACATATGATTTTTAACTTTTTTCTTGCAGACAAAGCGGGAACTCAGTTAATGGTTATATAAATATATATTATCTGGTTTAGAGACTAATACTTATAATTTTCAAAAATATTAATCTGTATTAGCTTCGTTATGGACTTTTCGAAAATCACAAGAGAACAGTATTTAAAGGGCGCATGCGCTTAAATTGTTATTACAATTCGTTCATTATAGCATATGTAGGGTAAAGCAAATATACAAAACATTACAAAACGAATGTCGTTCTACTGAATTCTATGCACTTACCATTGCAATTTCATGAACTACCGTAGAACTTGTTCCAGTTAAGTCAGTTGCCTCACTTTGTTTGTTTTTCCGTTTTTGCGCAAATATATTCCTAGCAGCAAGCTTTTCTTTTTTCGATAATCTCTTTAATGATCCGCGCGGTTTTAACTTTCGTCTTTTGCCCTTAAGACTGGTCGATGAGGAAACTATTATTTGGGAATCACTTGATGGTGTTGCGTGGATACGGTTAGTAGATTGATGTGCGAAGCTTCGCCTTTTAATTCGCCTGTTCTTTTGCTTACGACTACTTCGCATTATAACACATCGGTGATGGACACAATGAAAAAAACTATTATATTTTGTATAAAAATATATTTCACAGTAGAAAATGCCTGCTTTACTTATTTAGTATATTATATTTAACAGCTGACTAGTGTTGATGCTCTTCTGGACTGGTTCACAATAGCGAAATAATAAATGCTTATGACTAGTGCACACATAACTTAAAGGAGATAATTAGCGAGATGAACCTAAAACAGCAAACAACTTAAGTTTTTTGTTTTGTGGCCCGTCAGATACCAGCGGCGATCCAATTTTTTCCGTAAAACCGGCTCAGCTTTTTTATCGCTGTTGTACAAGGTTGTCAATATTGCCTGTTTTAAACAAATATTAAATAAACTAAGAACATAGGTAATTTTTTCCAAAGAAATGAAAATTAAATTCTCAGTCAATTATTTCTTACCATAGATCACAAATATTTGATTGGCGTATATATTCAAACTAATAAATTATGAAATTCATTGACGAAAATTATAAATTTCTTTCTTCCAGTCGGTGTGGCTGTACGGTTCCGTCCATAGCAGCTAATTTTATGTTATGGCTGTGCGGCGTGTAATATAGGTCGGGGATCGAGGAGCTCACATATAGCAAATTCAAACGTCTTTAAGCACATTGATACATGTGTTACAAATGCCAAAATTGAAGTTGCTCAGTTGGCGAATTTGTATACGTACCTTTTTTTCATAATCCATTTCACATACTTTTTCTGCTTGTATTCTGGTAGCTCATAAAAATGTTTTTATGCTCATGAAACACAGCGGTCCATGACAAATGTGCTGCCACATCATGCCTTTGAATTGTGATGGTAATGTGTGAATGCATCTTTTCACATGAGTCTGTGCCAGAAATCTATAAGTTCATGAGTCGTACAACTTCGAATTTGAACGCGTGTTGTCTGCTTAACGACGGTGTTTTTATCTGCCCATAACCAAAACAATGTTGATCGTGAATGCGACAGCATCGTCTTATTCACATATATATTCGTCAGTCGTTTTTTCAGCCGAGTTCTTCCTCCAAGTTTATATTAAGCCGCCTCCGAACGGCTGATGGTTTTTTATACGAGGAGCCTTTAGTTCATGTCCGCAATACACTCGGAGGGGTGGACGTTCCCTGCCGAGGGCAGGATATGAACCCCAACCTATGTATATGTATAGAGGTGTATATAAATACTTGATTTTGTTTATGGAAAGTAAACCGGTCCTTAGAGGGTGAATACAATCAATTTTTGGTTTTTATTATTTCTAGCTGTAGATGAGTCGCTTAGCAAATGTTATGGTGAACTAAAATGTTGTTACTTCTACTGTGCTTCTACTTAAAATTTTAAAGCATTAAAATTCTTAAGAATTTTAAAAAACTACAGATTAAGGCAAGTTCACACACGGCTTATATTAAGCCGTAGGTAGTAGCAAGGCTACAAAAACAAAACGCCTGTGTATTTCGAATGTGTAATCATAGTTTCGAAAAGTCATAACCGAAAATTGTTCAATGTATTTTTACAATTTTGCTGAATCAGCCTAGATGATTTTCTGAATCCTTCGGGTACGATCTCTGGATTGTTAAATAAAACTTGCCAACTTAATTTGCAGTTTCTTTCGTAATAAAGAATTTACCTAATGTCCTTTATTTACTCGCAATTCAATTACAAGGCACTTTACTAGTTACAATCACTCGCATTAACTTTCACAATTTACTTTACTAAAATGTAATCTCCAACCCGTTTACTCTACGACTCTACACAGATGTTGTCGCCAACGAGTTCACTTTGTAACTAACTTAACTCGGCAGCTGAGTGTCGCCTTATATAGTAGAATTATCGAGTTGTTCGCTATCGAAGGTTCTCGTTGTATCGTTCTAGAATATACTTGTTATCGGCTTCTCTTTTTCATCTGACATTCGCCTCGCATCTACGCAACTGTATATTTTTGTGTAAACGAACGTTCGAAGTGCAAAAACCTATTTCTCATATATTTTGTTTGTGTAATTTTCTGAAATGGATGGAAGAACAAACAATCATATGATGTGACAACTTCAGCTTCTGTAAATACGCCTTGACTACAAATATGATCAAAAATTTCCTGTATCAAGTCCCAAAAGTGTCTTAGTTAAGTGGTAGCTCCAGCAACTTAATGGGTATGGTAACACCATTGGCAACAACAATTCGAATTTTTTTACAATCAAGTGAATTGTGAAAAACAAAGTTGGGTTGAAAATCATTTGCGGGATTATCTAAAATCTTATCACACAGCTCATATAACACAAAAAATTGTATATTATTATTTTAAGGCATTTTTTACAGTAGAATACAGCATTAATTGATTGAACTGAAGTACAGTGAGTATATATAAATTTATTACAATGCATTTATCAACATTAGATACATATTCACCAATAATTACATATGCTAATGCACATTTCAGATACATCCATCCGATTGCAACAAGTGGATGGTAGCTTCCAAAAAGGCACAACTTTTTTTCAATTAACAATAAAGTGAAGTTAATAAGAAGTGCTTCCGTACAGACCTCATCGCGGACGTTTTGGATTTATTTGAATATTTTGACGTTGAAGAAATGGATTTTTGGGGTATATTGACATTTATAGCACTGACGGTGCTTATTATGAGCTGTTGTGGCTATTGTTGCTCTTCAAAACAACGTGGAACCGTGTTATCAAGTGAGTACAATAAATGAATAGAAATACATACACTTTCAGATTTTTAAAGTTCTGTCAAGATGAGTCATACAATTAATTGGAACTACGACTTCGGGGAATTCTCTTCTCATAAGATATATTCATTATATATTTTGCTGACTTAACATTTTAAACAAAGTGTCAAACTCTCAAATCTAAAATATACATACATTATCACAAGGTATCTTTGTATAAGTATAAGTAAGCATAATGCAACTACTAATGATGAATGCGAATGATCGTCACAATTTGCAAATTCTTTGTGTGCTATGTTTAATGAAATTCAATATACATGTGTTGCTATGTAAGCCTACTACATATATATGCACATACATTTTGTGAGCTGGTCGAATTACCCTTTTAGTGTTAGGCGAAAAAGATGAAAAACTCACGGTTTTACATGGGTTTTGAGAATGAGCAAAAAAAAAAAGCCGGTAAAAAGACCCCACTCACGCGGGAACTATTGGATTTCAGTCTAGACAGTATACCTAACGGGTAAGACCTGGAACCCATATCCCTCAGGGAACTTAGATTTACTTTTAGCAGTCTGTCTTACAAAAGTAAGTGTCTTCAAACATTTGTATTAAAAGATTGTTCTATATGTTCCAATGCGTCGCTGCACCCACAAAAAACTTTAGCAAACGCATATGGAATAAATTTTTTAATAATTTATGAATTATTTTGAGTTCAGAGCAATTAAAAAAGATCTAATCAACATTTATTTTACCATTAGCTCAGATTTATATATCTATCAAATTTTATGGAAAAAAATAATGGTTTTGGTTCGTGTTAGATAATGCATATATATTTGTTTATAAAACTGATGACGCATCTCAAGAATCTTATCATTTTCAACAAAAAATATATAATATGTTAGTATATACAAAATTTACGAAGAAGGATAAATTGGCTAACAGCCAATAGATAACATTTAGCATTTGTTATATTCATAGAAAGGTATATGTGCAAAATACACAAAAATGTACTTTTTTTCCAAATGAAATGTTAAATTCAGTTGCAATTAGCTTTTCGTTAGATACGGCTCGTCGTTTCTTAATTTTTTTTTTAAATTAATTTGCATTATTGATTAGAATGTATTGGGCCGGTGTCATTTGGATACCGGTATTAGTAGTTTTTTTAATTTTAGTTATATTTTTTTCCGTGTGCATAAAGCGTCGTCGTACAGTTATTGTGAGGACTCAAGGAAATGGTGAGTGGAATTTTTGCAATGTTAAATTCAAAAGTCTAAATAATTTCCAAGAGCATATATTACATAATATTATATATATATTTATAATTCATATATCTTCTGGAGCAAAAAAAAATATATATACTTGTTGTAACCACAAATGTATCCCCCAAAGTGAGTTCTGGTAATGTTGCGGGTATCCTTGGCGATTGTCGTTGGAATTTTTCGATTTTAGATGTCTCTTACTGCAATAAAAAAATTTCTATTCTATATACCAGCCACAAATTTGAAGTAAGAATTCGACTATGATGTGTTTCCTATAAGCAGTTCGTATTGTCTTTGTCTTATTCACTTCTGTAATTAAAAAAAAATTATATATATTAAGTTAAAATTCTCTTGAATGCCAATACAACATCCTAAATAAATTAATCTGATTTTTACAAACTCGAAAAAAACGACCAATCAGTTTAAATTAAAAATATAAAAAAATGATATTGTGTTAAAATTTGTATACATACATATGTATGTATAGTACATAAACAAGTACTCTTATAACTCAACGGTGACGTTTGTTTACTTGCTTCTGCTAGATTTTAGGCGAATTCTATATAAAATGTGTATTTTAATACTCGTCCCAAATAAAGGGAGAATGGGAAAAATATAGTACATACCTTAATACAATGCTAAAGTTAGTTAAGCAAAAGAAAACAAAAAAAAAAAATCAAATAAAAAACAAAAAAAAGACACACTGTCTTCAACCATGTCAAAGTCTTTATATAAGGATTTCCAATAAGATGTGATATTTTCATATTAATTGAAACTTTCCCCTTAAAAGACCGTTGGTTTCGTTTCTTTTGTACCACGAAACGCACCAAATAGTTACACCTTGAAGTTGGAGTGGCTTTTCAACAATAAATTTTGGGATTTCCCAGTCTTAAATGCGGCAGTTTTGCTCATCGACGTAGCCATCCTGGTGGAAATGGGCCTCAACATTCAAGATGATTTTTCGATGAAATTTTTATAGTGAAATAATATCTTCTATTGGAAATCCCTTAACTTTTCATGAACATACCAGCTTCATTGTATTGCATTTTAGGATTAAATATGAATTTTTATATCTGAAAAATCAGTTACGGAGGGGCTATGTGATATAGTCCTCTGATTCCGGTGATTTTTAGTGTGAATCTTGGGTGTAGTAACAAGTAATCCATTATTTTTGTATAAAATTGAATGGTTTAATTTTTTCTGTTTCGTATCCAGCCTTATTCAAAGCAAACGTTTCCAATGGTTTTTTGTGCTATCTTTAGCTCTTGGGCAATCGAAACAGTGCTTCCATGACAGTCGCACTCGACAATGTCTTTGTTTTTATCGAAATTTTCGACAATTGGACTGCTACTACGTGAAACCTTTTTTTACATCAAAATTACCGGAATGAAACCGGTATTGTGCATGATTGACTGTAACGGTATCAGGTTCATAAACGCTATTCACTTCTCCAGCCGCCTGGCTTGCATTTTCGTCCTTATCGAAGAAAAATTGAAAACTGTAAAATATAGCGTATTTTCTCTTTGCCTGTGTCCACCTTTGGCCCACGCTCAAACTAAACTGAATCAACCAATCACAAAGCTGCCAGAAAAGATTTTTTAGTACGAAACATCATCTTTCTAACGTCATCTAGCGGAACCCAATCGGACTTATACAACGCGAAATGCAGAGAAATAAAACCATCTTTTGGAAAAGACTGGATTTCTTTTTACTACACTTAATATATATCTTTTTGAATTTACGCTGTTGAGTACTAAATTTCATTTCGTATTGGGTTCAAACAGACGGACGGATATGACTTAATATACTCAGCTTGTCATTCTGCTCACATCGGTATACATTTTTATGAGCCAATCTTTGGAACTCTCCTGTTCATAAAAGGTATAAAAATTGTAAATCATAAAGGGATTGTAGAAAATGTAAGTGCGCAGAGTCTTGCACCTTTTTTTTATCGGTTGCTTCCTTACGCACTTCTCTACTTCCTCTCTCTCTTTTCAATTTATAGAAGACCCAATTATTTTCCAATCGACCACCAAAAATATTACAAACAACAAAAATTTCTTTTATATTTTAGTATAATTTTTATCATATCTAAATGTCATACCAAGCTAAATCCCATTTTAGTTAGTTAGATAGATAACACATTTTTCTTTTAATTAAATACAAGAAATAAATAAGTCTTCCGAAGAACTAATTTAGTTGACCGCGAACGTTAGCGTGTAAAGTGTTTTTATTCGATAAAATACCGAGAAGAGGTTTCCTCGTAATTACAATCTTAATGGCTTACTATCTCGGCATCATATTAATTGTTTTCGCTGTGATATTTTGTAGTTTCTTAATTGCATTGTGGGCCAAATTAAGACGCAGACGTCGACAGGCTATGGCTGAACAGCAAGCAAGGCTTTTGACTGACATTGGTACGCCCGAAATTGTCATTGGAAATAATTAAAATCGTCATGAAATGAAAAAAAAAAAAAAAAATAATTACAATATTGAAAAGAATTGAAAAAGTAGTACTTCCATCCTTAAAAAAAAGGTAAAATGATAATTTTTTTTTTTCATTCCTCATAAAATAATACTCACTCTTATTTATAATTTGATATTAAAAAAAAAATATATATATATATATATACTAAACTATACTAAAAGATAAAAAAAACCCAGCTAAATCCTTTTGTACTCGCCTAGTTTCTTGGAAATTGTAAGAGTGTAAGAGCAAATGAAGGTGAGGCCTGAGCGGAGTCGGTGGTATTTAAATTTCATTAACTTGCGTTAATTTTCAGTTTTAGAGTTTTTATTTGCAAGTATGGCAAGGCCTTGCATTCTTTAATACATAAAATACAAAATCGTGGGTTCCGGTTCAGTTTCACTTTGGCTGCCTGAAGTGCGCCAATAACAAAGGGCTTTATGTCATCAGGTACAGTGGCACGTATATACATATACATATGTGTGTACATATTAATATTTATATAAGTTTGTATGTTTGTGTATATTGCTATAGCGTACTGATTATTTATGCTTATCAATAAATTTATTACAAATTACAATTTATATAAAACATATAAATATTTACATACAACATATAAATATTTACATACTTAGGTATGTATGTACCTGAGAAATACCTTTACAGGGGGAAAGATACATTTTAATCATTCCACCTGAGAGTCAGTTTATTATTTTATCTCCTTGATGATGGTGAATTTTTTGTTTTATAAATTAGTGAATTAATCTTTTTCAAAAAAGGCATCTTTCGTAGCCTATTTAAGTATTTAAAAAAAAATTAAGGTGCAATATGTCTTCATATGAGAACCATCATATAGTTGTTATGATTTTGGCCTTTTCATTTTTTATTGTGGCTACAATTATATTGCTGTTAGTCGCAGTTTCTTTGAAAAAGCGCTTGGAAAGGAGGAAGAATCTTAAAATGATTTTTCCAAAGGGTTTGTGTTGATGATTTTTTTGTTTAAGATGTATGTAGATACATATCTTTATAAAGTTATATATTTGAGATTATAGTAAAATCATATAAAGGGTAATTTTTTAGCTATTACCTTCTTTGGCAAGACTGGTTTAAACAGCTGCCGCTCGTTTCGTGTTTCGTATCACAGTCAAACATCGTTAGTTTGGTCCATAATTGAACCATGAATCGTCTTACAAATGAACAACGCTTGCAAATTATTGAATTTTATTATCAAAATGCGTGTTCTGTTAAGAGAATTCATCGCGTGCGATTTTTTATTGAAAA